TATACAGAAAATCTGTTAATGTTTTTATTGCTTCAGAAAAAGATAGATTAGTAGTACTCTGAGCTTTGTTAGTCTCACTAGTTTTCGTTAGATCTATAATAGCCTATTCTTGTAAATCAGTTGGAGTATGCTAAGCTAGAGTCAAATTATTCACTATAATTATATTATAACAAGTTAAGCAAATTGTGTCATCTATTTGAAGATAAGAAAATAAAGTATTGTTAGCTTTTTCTTTAGTAATAATATATTCAGTTACTTTTTTTCAATAAGTTGATGATTCTCTTTAGCATGTAGTAATTGTATATGGTCTAGTAATAGGCATATTGTCTTATAAGTGAAGTTTTTTAAATTTTGGATTATTTTAGATTAATTTTAACAGTGAACATTAATATTTGCTTAGAATTAGAAATGGCTTTTACAGCAATTTTTTTTATTAGTGAAACGTTATGTTCTCAAAAAGTACTTTAAAGTATATAAATAAATTAAAGGTATGACAAATATTACATAATATTTTTAGAGAAGGAGAGAGTATTACTAATGTTTTATATTGCTATCAAACTAGCCAATCAAATATCACTACTATTGCTTATAATTAGATCACAAAATAATATAGAATCAATTTACAACTAGCCAATCAATTATTGCTATATATTAGTTTAAAATCAGGATCACGAAATAATATAAACTTACAACTAGATAGAATTGAATCACAAAATAAATTTACAAGATATTGTTGAGTATATTTATGCAAAAGATTATTCAATTTTATATACATTTTTGTTAAAATATTTATTTTGTATATATGATTTATTTAATTCTAGCCATATATAGTTCACTCTCGCTATAGTGAATTGATCCAATTTTATAAATAATTATAGAATTATAAAACATAATAAAATTTGCTCTAGAGAATTATTTTGCTATTTTGAGAAATCTGCTTTAGCGTTCTAGAGAATTGTTCTGCTATAATTGAGGAACCTGCTTTAGCAGAATCTACTATAATGAGTGTGAACTGTATATGAAAAATTAATGAAATTTTATATTAGATTTATTCTCTATCTAAAATATATTCTCTGAGTGGAATCTCAACGTAAGGAAGCATTCAGGTATCATTTTGTAATGGCAGCATCATAGAGTTATCAATTGTTGCAGAATTAGTTACTTGAGTTTTTAAAACTTCTTTTCAGGGCCTCTCAAGAATGGAAGAATGTTGCAGATATTTGTACTTTGTCAAATAGGTAAGAGTAGGATAATACTTGTTGCAAAGTGAATAACAGAGTTGGGAATAGGTTTCTTTATCAAGAAAAAAACAATAGAAATCATATTCAGGTATTTTGAATTGATCAAAGTACTGAAAAAGGTGAATTGAATTTACATAGTGGCCATCTCATACTTTAACAACAAAGAGAAGGAAGCCATCACTGGCTATAAGAAAATCTATAGCTTCTTTAGCTCTTATGAAGTCACAACATTTAAGATCATCGCATCAAGTATATCTCACATAAGTTGCAATGTCTTTCTATTCAGGACCATGGTACTGTACTATTCTCAACTTCTTTTTTTTTTTTTTTCTTCATCAATAAATTCAAGCCTAACAAATAGGTCAGTGGTTTTATCAATATAGGTTGCTTTAACCTTTTTTTCAAAAATAGAATCATGGTATCAGAGTTTATATAAGGCTTCATTTGTATGATGAAAATTTTGTACTGCCAACATATAAATTAACAACTTTTTCTTGGCTATCTAAATGATTGCCAAAATGATTGATTAGAAGTGTTATTCCAGCAAGCTTTCCCAAAAATGTAGCTATAGCTCTCTCAACTAGATTATATTTTAATTGTCCAGGAGCATGTATATATATAGTAAGGAAATCTAAGTTAAATTTTTTAAATAACTTACAATATGAGACTATATTTTTTAAATATCTAGAGTTCTTGTCAGGGCCACCATCAATTAATAACACCCAAATTGGTTTTATATCTCTATCTATCATTAAGGGTAGAGTGTATGTCGATCATTTATCATATGATCTCAGTGGTACAACGGGATTTTATGTATAAATTAAAAT